TTAATGTGATAGCATTTTTTAGGATCATTATAAAAATAAAAATGTAATAAAACAATATATCAATACATTATTCTGACAATATAACCATCCGAATTTGAAAACAAAGATGACTTGTTTATTTGGTAGTAACCTATGCAAATATGTGCTTTCCATTGGTTTCTTTTAAAACAGTGCTGTATGACTAGTTCTCAATAATGCTTGTCATGTCAGTTTCAAACATTTACATGGTATAATGAAAATAAAAGAACACTTCCATCACCAAGGTAAGATAAAGAAGACTTTGGTCAAGAGAGTAAATTAGTTTAGAGAAATATCTCAAGATAATGGAAATTCCTACTAACTCTAATTGAGAAGAACTGGAATTTGACATTAGAGCTTCCTGATTTCAATGGTATTTACTATCATCTGGTCCTTACACCAGCAAAACACTAGGGGACACTCAAGTCATATGTGTCCAGACATTTTTCTCATTAAATCTTCTGGACTAACTTTTTCAGGCTTCATTCAAAGGGTAGGAGGAGAAAAACAAAGGAGAAGCTAATAATGCTCGACAAGAAATGTACTCATTACATTACTCATGTAACTATAAACCCATCTACACAGCATCTTTACAATAAAATAAAATTTTAAAAGACACCAATGGCTCCCACTTCTAATTCTACCTGAGGGTTGAGAATATGTGACTTGAAGGCCATCCTGGACTAAAAAGTTCACAAGACCCTTTTTAAGCTGATAGAGCTGGACACAGTGGTGTGTACGTTTTATCATAATCTAGGTAAGGGGTATGAGATTTGGAGAATTGCATTGACACTTGTGTTATTTTAAACTCATATTCACCTTTTGCTTCCATCTTACTGGGACTCCAATATGTGGTGTTTAGCTGCTTCTTTCCTTGAAAGTAGAGACAGGTCTTCAACCACTGAATAGGATGCATAGATCTTCTTGCTGGCTATTCATAGAGCACAGGAGAGAGCTACAGAGAAAAATGGTACCTTTAAACTGTATTCAGATGCAGAGAAGACAATTAAGAAATGTCTACTTGGGGGGATAAGAGACTTTAAACTCAGAAGCTATTTAGAAAAAAACAGGCAGATTCAATTCTACATGCCCTGACATTCAAGGATCTACTCCATCTACCCAAATTTTGGAGTAATGCTGTGTGCTTTGTGACTAGACATCACTTTTATATTACACAAACACTCTCCATTTGATCAGAAAGAACATCCATTTCAGCCTTGGAATGCAACCTGTTTCTGCGTGAATTAATCTGTCCTCAGTGAGGGATGGGGCTGTGTATGATGACAGAGTCTACAGGACAGTGTGCAAAACCTGTGGTTCAATCATGATCCTCAACTCACCAACATCTGCCACCAGGGGATGGCAAAGAATTCCCTCAACAAGTAGTTTTCCAAGGCACAGGAGGCGCAGCAGCCAGACAGTGTCGTGGCCCCAAACAATAGCACTTGGCAACACAATGGACATTACAAGGCAGTGCACCCGCCTCAGTCTTTTCCTTAATGTGGCCAGATCGTAGGAACATGGGGACACCTACTTCCACAAAAACAACAGGATTAGGAATTTGAAGCATGTCAGAGGCTACATTGTGAAAATGGTACTTTCTATTTTTTATTTTTAATTTAATTTAATTGTAAAGATGCTGTACAGCGGCGTTACAGTTACATGATTAAATCAATAAGTACATTTCTTGTCGAGTATTGTTACCCTTTCTCTTATTGTTCTCCCACTATCCCTTTCTATTTTATATTATTTATATTTTTTATCCTCAAGCTTCTTCATCTTCCTTGCTTGTCTGGTCCTCTATAACATGAGCCACACCTCCAGTCCACCTTCTTGAATGTTAGTTGGGATTTGATCATGATCCTTGAGATCTTCAGACTCTTGTATGATTAGGAATATAGTCATGAGACACTGATATCTGACAAATGTTTTCATGATTATATTTTGATTCTATGAGTTCATGACAGAATTTGTACTGCTTCTTCATTTTGCCTCAGTCCAAGTTTCCATATTGGATAATTACAGTATTAATAGTTGGGGCAACCATAACAAAATTCCACAATTTTAGTGTTCAGAGTAGCAGGTAGGAATTGCTTTGTCTTTGTCATATATTTGATTGCTGGAAGGGGGAAATATTGTGTCTGTGCAGCTCTGACAAAGCATCCTGTCCTTCAGCAGATTTTGATGAAGGTCCAGTGAAATTTTAGCTATTGCATTGAGACAAATGAACAGTGGAACAACTCTTGAGTTTTAATCTGGGAAATCTACATTTCAACTATGGACTCCCTGCTCTGGGTGCTCTACATTCAGCCAGGGATGAGATGAAGTAAGGTTCTCACTAAGAGTTATAAACCTTGACAGGATCACTTTTTGCTCATCAGAAAATTAGGCACTCTGTCGCATTGTACACAGAGAAATAAAAAGAAATATGTGCTTAATTAGGTGCACAATTATCATGAAGAAATAAGATTGTTTAACTAATTAGAGTATAAAAATAAGTCCATGGAATTTTATATTCACATTTTTAGGTGTAAACAGCTCTACTGTTATCCAATTTTATTTTTAAAAAAAACATATTATGAGCTCACTAACTGTAAGAAATGGGCTTTATCCTCTGTGTCTATTTTTTCAGACATGATCATTCTGATTAGTTTATTAGATCCAATAACAACATTTCTATTATTTTTGGTAAATTTTATTTTATTGTAAAAATGCGGTACTGAGGGGTATATTTACATGAGGAAAGCAGTTAGTACATTTCCTATCGCGCATTGTTACCCTTTCCCTGATTGTTCTCTCCTTATCCCTTTCCTTCCCCACCAACCTCACCCCTTCACCCTCCACGCACCACCTCCCCACCCAAAGTTGTAAAGTTCATTTACAATATACTCTCTTGTGGATATGTTGCAATGTGTCATCCTATGTCTTTGTTTCACAATTTTGTGATTCCTCTTCCCCTCCCCAAATTAGACATATGTATATACAAGAAGCAGGGTATCAAAATCAGTAGAATAACAACAGAGAATCTACTGTACGGGGAAGAACATACAAAGGAAACAAAATAATCACATAGTACTTTAAAAATAACAACAATAAAGAAAGACCTCTTGTGCCCATATCTTGGGGTTCATTTCACGTAGCATCATGTTATATGGTCATAAGTACATAGCTTTTCAGCTTTTTATGCTCATCTGATAAAATTGTCCTATACATACCCTAATTATTGTAAATGAAGGAAACCATGGGACCTATATTTCCTTGGGTCTGGCTTACTCCACCTTAGGTCTCTGGGACTGAATGTCTTTTTTTGCCAGGCCCGTACTTGAACTCAGGGCCTGGATGCTATCCCTGAGCCTCTTTGTGCTCAAGGTTAGTGCTCTACCACTTGAGTCACAGCACCACTTCTGGCTTTTTCTGCGTATGTGGTATTGAGAAATTGAACTGAGGACTTCATGCATACTAGGCAAGCACTCTACCACTAAGCCACATTCCCAGCCCAGGACTGACTGTCTTATTTCACAATGACTCGGGTGATTCTTACTCCATTCGCATATCCACTCTTCTTCCACCTGCAACTGAGAGTTATTCCTCTAATTGTTCTTCTCAAGGAATGATAATCAGGACATTTTGTCTGCACCAGGAGTGCATGTTTACCATAAACCAGGTCCAGCTTCAAAGCTCTACTCATTATGTGAAAGGGGGAGAGGAAAACATGAATTTATTTCTATAATCTGCTTTGCTCCAATAGTGTGTGAAATAGTTCAGTGAGCAGGTTTGCTATAGGAACCTGTCATGTAGGGACTGGTACAGATGGACTCTGACTTTGACAATGCCTGGTCTGTGAGCTACTGACCTTTGTCCTTCTACAGCAACTGCTTGAACTCACAATAAGATGGTGGATTCATTGTCAAGCAAATGTCCTGTCCGTGTCTTCCCAGTTGTGACATCCAGCACTAGGGTGCACAGCTTCCTCACATGCTGGACTCCAGGTGGAGCCTTCCTCATCATACTCTGGATTTATCACCTGTGGCATTTTCCCTTGTCTTCTCTGGGCTTTGCAGCTCCAGTGTCCCACTTCACACTTCATTATGCTACATGTCATCCTTTCAGAGCTTGTTTATATCATAAACTCTAAGTTCAATCACTGAAAACTTCTTTAATTACAAATTCCATTAAATGGGAGGTACTGTAGGAATTTACAGTTTTAAGAGGCAGAGTTAATTGAAGTTTAGTTCAGCTTTGGTTTACAAAATAGCTCAGGTTCTTAGGAGGAATAACTTGGATTACGAACAATAAGGCATGAATGTCATCAAGACTTTAGAAGACTTGCAGCTCAGAAATGTACAATGATAATAAGGCTATGCCTGTAGCCAGGTCCTTTCAGTATACAGAAAGCCAATGTCTGATGTTAAGTCTACTGGATGATGGTGGTGGGAAAGTGCATTCAGAAACACAGGACAGCCACCTGGAGTTGATAGCAAAACCCAATGGCTAGCCTGTACATTGTACATCATAGCACAATACTACACATACTTTAATTTCATACTTTTCATTGTCTTTCATTAAGTCTTAATTGATACTTGTCTATCATCTTTTTATTTAACTATCAGTCTCTCTATCAACCTACATACGCATGTAGGTTGAGTAATTGAATGAATGTGTCTATGATTAAAAACGGGTTCAAGGAAACCAAAGACTTAAAAAATCTGATCTAAATCATTAATTCTAAATTTTGGAGCCATTTTTGCTTGAAAAATTGACTTAGATAAAATGCTATCATGAAAAGCATGTCATGACCCATGTATAAATTAAAGTTCATTGTATTTAACCAGAGAGGAATTCTGTCCGATGAACCCCAGAGAGAAACACATTCTCTTCAGGCACAACAGTGCTACCCTGGTATTGTTTTTTGTGTCTGGGACATCATGTCTGGGCTGAGATACTGACATCTGGCATGTTGGTACAGCTGTGCTGGCCCCTTCCAACCCCTACTGATTTGCATGTGCCCAGAGCACAGCCCACTGCCCTGAGCAGTTCTTGAAAGCTGCTCACATCCTGGGCAGTAGTCAATCCTAGTCAGCACACAGCATGGACATGAAGGTCCCTGCTCAGTTCCTGGGTCTCCTGATGCTCTGGATTACAGGTAAGGGAAGACTATGCTGACGATCTCCTCAGTCTGCTGTTGTCAATGATGCTTGGCTGTTTATGAAGCTTTCTTATAACATGCTTGATTATGTATACTTATTACTTTTCTAATGGCAGGTACCAGATGTGACATCCAGATGACCCAGTCTCCATCCACTTTGTCTGCATCTCCTGGAGACAGAGTCACCATCACTTGCAGGGCCAGTAAGGGCATTAACAGTTGGTTAAACTGGTACCAGCAGAAACCAGGGGGAGCTCCAAAGCTCCTGATCTATGGTGGAAAGTATTTACAATCTGGGATCCCCTCCAGATTTAGTGGCAGTGGATCTGGGACAGAGTACACTCTCACCATCAGTAGCCTGCAGGCTGAAGACATTGCCACTTATTACTGTCAACAGTCTTATAATAACCCACCCACAGTGATACAAGCCATAACATAAACCTCCAAGAAGCAGAAGTGTGAGCCTGGGCTGCCCCAGCTGCTTTCCTCATCCTTCCTCTTGCGAGAGCTGTCCTAAAATCATAGGACAGGAATCTTGCCCAGGATATCCTGGACCAGCGAGCTTCTATGTCTCAATCCTTGGAGTAAGTGTAATTATGGATATGCAATACTGGCACTGGGCTGAATATTGAAATATTAAATTGACATTCCAGACTATAAACATGGAAATACTCTGCCATTATTCAGGTTTCTTTTAATCTTGAATAGATATTCACAATGTGCACAGAGACACTGCGAAGTTATTTCAAAAGTTTTATTTTGAGATTTTTAAATACTTTATGCATAAATTTCATCAGCAAGTAAAGAGGGTTTGCCACTTCCTTTTTCTCCTTTGGGTCTTTTGTGCTTTTTTTCCAATTAGTTTTAGCTTTTCTTATTGTATTTGGAGAACCTCAGTATAATTTTAGGTACAGAAGGTAATAGTGAACATTTCATACTTTAATAAAACGAGTGTTAAAATGCTAAATAACTATATTAATGAGTACAAAGTTTGTTGCAGGGTTTTCCTACTTATTAAAACAGGTATTTTCCATTATTCCTGGCCTGCTGATATGTCATGGATAGCTGTTGACTCTATTAGAAATATTTTTTCACATAAATGAAGACAGCCTATAGTTTTTCTCTATAACTCAATCAGAATTATGAACACAGAGATCATTTATCTAATTTTAAAAGGTATTTCTATTTGTGGAATATATTCGGCTTGATCAACATACATTGCCTGAGAAAAATAAGGAAAATGAGTGAGACAAAGAGAGAGAGAGAAAGAGAGAGAGACAGAGAGAGAGAGAGAGAGAGAGAGAGAGAGAAGAAAAGTAGGAGATGGAGATGAATGGAAGGAGAGAAAGGGAGGGGTGAAAGGAGGATAAATTAGTTTATTTCTATTTTCTAAATACTAGTTCCACTTAGCTATCAAGCAGAAATTATCAAGAGAAACATTGAATATAAACAACACTGTTGGCACTGAGTATCCAGCCATTCTGTGCTCTCCTGCAAGGTACACTGAAGGTGAGATGTTTCTTGAGCTTAGTCCCTCTGTCCTCCAGACCAGTTCCCACCAAGAATCACAGCAGTGTTTCTAGCTCACTGAATCTTCTCTGTTTTAATCTCAAGAGTCTAGGAATCTTTGACAGTCACTGAAGTCTTTTATTTATAAAATGAAAAATGAAGAAAACACAAGATAAAGCAGATCTTCCTTAAGTCAGAAGCCCTCTGAATCTCAGATTGACAAGTGAACATATGCATGCAGCTTATGAATCATATGTATGTATATATAACTAATGTATAAGGTACATTATGTAATAATTAAATATGAATTTTATAGTTTCTTATGGGTTATTTTGTATATATGATGTATTATTAGGTATTAATCTATGATTTTTCTGATTTTCCCTATTCTTTTCATGTTTTTTGTAAAGGTGATACATAGAGGGATTACAGTTACAAAGGTAAAGTAATGAGTAGGTTTCTTTTTGAATAGTGTCACCCTCTCCTTCATTATCTCCAATGTCTACCCTGCCAACTACTCCCCCAGCCCAAGCTGTAAAGTTCATTTCCAGTATACTGTCTAACAAGTATTATTGTCACATTGTTTTGTTATTATATGTTATATCGTTTATGTATCTTCTTAAGACTTACCAAATTTTTTATGCAATGTATAGGTAAACTTTTCCATTTTACAAAATATTGTGCTACTGATTATCACTTTACCTGGAAATATATCCAACTAATCATAAGGAATAACTTGAGGAAAAAAGTCACTCTGAAAGAGTTTCTATGGTGGGTATTGAAGTTTCCACTACTAAATATCATGAGTTAAGTATTAGGGAAAAGGTATACAAAAAGGTGAATTACGAGCAAGTAAAAATGACAAACATAGGGCATCTCTCTTTTATAGGCAATGTTCTAACTGTGGATGTAGGAGGAAATAGATTGAGGAGGTGGAGATGTGGTGTGATGAAAGACTTCAGGGGTTTGTTGCCATTGAAGAAAATACTTAGGATTATGAGATATTGGATCCTATAAGTGAAAATAGCCAAGGAAAAATTTGGTCCATGGATGGAAGAAGGTAAAATCCCAGAGAAAGATACAGCAAAGTGTTCAACACTACTGTAACAGTTACACAAGAGGATGCTGAAGCAGACAATTAAGGAACTTAACAGCTGCCACACTCCATAAAGCATGGAAGGGCGGGGCCAACAGGGAACATTGTTTGACCTGAGGTTCACAGATAAGCAGCTGGATTGTGTCTATGGATGTGCATTTTCCCTTGTGTCTGCAGAGACATATATGGAATAGAGTGGCACAGATGAAAATGCTTTCTTGAGACGCATGTTGCAGATGGAAAAGGAGAGTTTAAATTTTATTGGGGAAATAGAAGACAGACATGGAGGACATTCAGAGCCAGAGAATTTAAGCCAAAATAAAGAGCAGATCACACTGTCCTTCAAGACATTCAAGGTTGAAGACCAGCCATCCAATGAGCACAACTTGAAGGAGCAGGAAAAACCCAAGGTGGATTCTAGGTAGACCTGATTTTCAGACTGCTAAGTAACAGAGAGCCTGAGATCACTGTGATTGTTTTGCTCATAACAATTGCTGCAGAAGTGGCACTGTCGCTCAAGCAGTAGAGAATTTTCCTTGAGCTGGAGAGCTGAGGGAGAGTCCCCAAGCCCAGAGTTCAAGCCCCACAACCGACCAAAAAACAAACAAAAAATAATTGCTGCATAATGGACAACTGTTTTGTTGGCTACATAGTTTTAGTGTCTCTGTTTCTTAGGGTTCTCTACAGTAACTTTTGGATAAGATTTTCACCTTGGTTCCTGGAATATTCTTCAGAGTTTTTCTAATGTTAGGTTCAAGATAAATACACTGCCAATAACTTTGGGTGAGACACATGTAAGTGTATACTTTTAACATTGCCCATGTCAAGTACACATCATGACCACTATCATGAGATGACAAGAAAACAAATAAGAAGAATATAAGAAGTCCAGGCATGGTGATGCATGCCTTGTACTTTCAGATATAAAGGAGAAAGAGGTAGAAAGATCTCAGCCCAGGTCCAGCTCAAGCATTTTTTATACATTCCAGATGATATCAGAACAATGAATTAAAGCAAAAACAGTTGGGAGTGTGGCTTAGTGGATAGAGTGCTGGCCTAGCAATCTGAAGTCCCTGAGTTCTAACTGTAGTACACTCAAAAAGAACTGTGAGATAAAGAGAATAAAAATTGTAATGATACACAAGAAAGATTCTATGCAAATACCATCAGGATAATTTACAGTATGTTGACATATCAATTTGAAATATCAAATCATTGGATGCAAAGTTATCCAAACTATGGACTAGGCATGTGTCTCCCTGTTTTGCAGTCTAACAGAATCAAAGGCACATCTCCCATGCTGGACACAGATCATTCTGAAACCAGAGTTTTAACATTTTAAATGGCAGACCCCCATATTATGTCTGGCTCCTCACTCCCAAATGCCAAATACAGACATAGTGAAGGGCAGAAAAAGGGGGTTTATCATGGTAGCCATGGGAAAGGAGCATTTTAAAATTTATCCACCATCTTTGTATAAATCTGTGACTCTTATTCCCGTGATTGATAAGCAAAAAGCCAGACATGGAGATGTGGCTCAAGTGGTAGAACACCAACCTTGAGAGAAAAATCCAAACAAGAGTGAGCAGGAGGCCTTGAGTTCAAGACCCTGTCCTAGAACTGAAATAAAAAAATATTGAATTTACAGGAATTAGAAGAAATGGAATACATGATTTGTAGTGAAGATATTATATGCTCAGTAGTAAATGATATATAGTAAATGATAAAGCAATATATTTGTTTCTATTGGTGTTTGAACGTGGGGTTTCCTACTTATTAGGCTCTAGAACTTAAGTCATTTCACGATCAGTTTTTACTTTAGTTTATTTTTCAGATGAGGTCTTGTTATTTTACCTGGCTTGGTCTTCTATTACAATCCTTCTAATTTCACCTCCTGTATAGATGCAGAAACATAAACCACGTGCTACAACTTGTTTTTGTGGTTGAGTCTCACTGCTTTCCAGGACAGCTATGAAGCACAATCTTAAATATCTATGCCTCCAGTTTAGCTGGGATTGCAGGCATAAATGACCATTTCCAGCCCTTCAATGAAAATTCTTTTAAGAACCTTGTTACTAAGGTAGATATTGTTGGCTCACACCTATAATCCTAGCTACTCAAGAGGTTGAGAGCTAAGCATCATGGTTCAAAGCTGGCCCAGGCAGTAAAGTCCTTAAGACTCTTATTTCCAATAAAGCACCAGAAAAAAATAAGTGATGCTGTGGCTCAAGTGGTAGTGCACTAGCCTTGCTCTGAAGAGCTGAGAGACAGCTCCCAGGCTCAGAGTTCCAGCCTCATAACCGAGCAAATAAAGAAATGGAGAATTATTTGTAATATGTTATATTTCATATAAAGATGAAGAAAAAACAATTTCACATTACAATATGAAAGA